GATGTTGGAGCTTTACTCAGGTTAGCACAGCATTTTAACCACATGAGCGTTGGAAAGAGCAGCGAGGGGTAGAGTGTTGTTTGTCCTCTGCTTTGAGAGGACCTAACAAAGCACCTAAGGGAAACGTGGGAATAAGGGTGTTCAGATGTCCAGGATAAAACTTGGGGAACTAAGGGGATCTTGTGAAAGTCCTGTTGATGCAACTGCCTTTTCCCACGGAGCCTGTTTTGCTGCTGACTGTTTTCTGTCTCTCCAGACTGAAAGCCATAAACATAAGTGATGTGTGCCACCTCTTACTCTTTATTCAGTGAAACTGCACTAGTTGTTTTTCTTCTCTTTCTGGCACTCAAGCATTACATGAAAGCCTTTTGTTTAGGTTTCAAACATTGCAGAGGAAAACTTAAAGGGAAATCACCAACTTAAAATAGTTCTCTGCCCAAATTAAAAAATACTGACGCTTGCAACACCTGACACTCTTCAGAGTGGCAAAGAGGTGTTTTTCAGTTTCAGCATTATTGTGTGTAATCAGTTTTCTCTTTTGTCTCCTGAGCGTGTAACAGTATAAAATCCATTGCTCTTTTTTTTTTCTCCTGCAAAAAAAGAGGAGGGAAAAAAAAAGTCTTCCTTTTCCCCTCTTTTCCTTTAAAACTCTGGAAATGTGGAACCTAAGTGACATCCTTTGAGCACATCCCTGAAATGTTTCTCTAGCATGTCTTCTTTCTCCGGGCTTCCCAAGTGTTATGGGAAACCTGTATGTCTGTATATCTGCCTTGAGACTTTGGCGAGGATGGGTTCAGAGAGGGAGCAAGACCTGATCTCATGCAGATTGATGCCTCTCTGTGGGAAGCACCAAGCAGGGCAGAACACTGGCACTGCCCCTTGATTTGTGGCTCTGGGAAGCAGAGCTGGTGAAACTGTTTAGAACTCTAACTTGCTGTTTTCTGTGATTTCTGATCCCACCCTAAAAATAACACCCCAGGCCAGGCAGCAAGAGGTAACTCTATCTCAGTTAGCCCTATCTGAACATGTTCAAGCTCTGTTCAGACAAACCACCAACCATGTGGCTGCTGCTAGGATAGCAGCAAAGACCAACACTCTAGTCAGTGCTGCTTGACCAGTGTACTGTTTAAGTCACTTCTGACCTGGTGGAGGTGGGGGTTTGACCTTGTCACTCCTGCGGAGTGGGTGCCACTACAGGAGCCGTGGGATTCTGTTCTGCCTCCCACATCAGTAATGGTGTTTTCAGTTCCCTCAGCTGCAGGGTCTTTTGCCAGTGAGAATTTCAGAGCGGGGAAAGAAATTTGACTCTAGTGTCCCGGAGGGAGCCTCCAGAGTTGGCAGTTAGAACAATATTCTTTTTGATCTGCTAACTGAACAGATTAGGCCTGGATGGAATGATGTTTAAATAGGGGTCCGGCTTGGAACAGGACTAGCCTGTCCTTGAAACAGGGGCTTGCTGGGATTTTTCATACATTTAAACTTGGCCCCTAGTAAGGCATCAAACCAAGTGATCTGATATGTTACTCAGGCCCCTGGCCTGTGTGGCTGTTTTAGCTTGCAGTTGGGACTAGATTTGTCAAGGGATTAGTTCTCAAAAGCTGCAGATAAGCGCCCAGGGGGATTTACAGAAAGCATTCCAGCAGGTTAGTTGCCCACGCCTTGGGGAAAGCTTTGAAAAGCTGCATCTTCAGCCACCTGCTGCCTTCATAAGCCCAGCTCCCATTGCTGTGAGCTCTCCAGCACCTGCCCTTTCGCTCAGACTACTAAGGGAACTCGCAGCTCAGGCTTTGTCACAGCGCTACCAAGATGGCCAGCCTCAGAAGTGACCCCTGACAGCTTCAATCCCAGAGTTTGACGAGGGAAAGGGGACTTCATTCCCTGTGTCTAGGGGCAAACTTTCTCCCAGCTGAGATGGAGCTCAGCGGAGGCCCTGGTTCTTGGGAGGCTTTGTGATGACTCTGCTTTTGAGACAGGGAGTGCTCCATTTGAAACGGGTAGCACTAGGCGCAAGGCTTTCACCTTCTGATCTCCTCCCTGTTCATGAATTATCCTGAGCAGTTTGAAGCCAGACTGTTCCCCTTTGTAGCGTTCTGCTCACCATCAAGAGGGGAAACTTTAGCTTATGGCAGCGTTGCTTGGGAGAACCGGGCCACAAACTAGCTCGCACTTGTCGCTTGGAAGGCTGTGGGAGAGAGAAAGCAATAAAACTATGGAATGGCAGCCAAAAAGGGGAACGAGGAGTTCTTACAAATGCCATTTGGAGCAAGGACTGTGGGAATGCAGGTGAAATATGAAAGACAAAGCGGAACCAGCAATGCATGCGAGAGCAATGCCACTACGTTGCAGCAGCGCTCCTGAAAATTGCTTGACTTTGAAATAATTAATTAGGAATCTATTGCCTTAAAAGACATATATATATATATATATATGTATATTTCCAAGTCGCAGATACTTTGATACAAACCAGGTGAGTGAGGCTTTAGAGAGTACATGTAAGTATGACTTCAGTGTACGTGCCTGTGCACCTCGGTGCATTAAGGGAATGAATGAGCAAATCTGCTTGCTGGGCGTCAAGGGACATTTATTCAGAAATAGTAGGGAACAGGGAGATGTATTAGTTCCCAGGGGCAGTGAGATAGAGCTGTATGAGCTAAATAAAGGTGATTCAGGTCCCAAGAGGGAGGGGAGGAAGGGAAGCAATCCCAGCAATTGCCTTGCGCTCATGACGGAGCACTGCAGCAAGGCTCCAGAAACTGCGTCTTGAAGGAGGCTGCGCTGTAAGCAGGAATTGAGTTACTTTGTGTATGTGGCAAGTACCTTTTTGGTACTGAGCAAATCCTGCGGGTAAAAACGGGGGGAAAAAATAAAGAAGTAATTTCCTTTTGGAAAAGCTCTTGCTGTGGTGGCGTAAACTGTGTGTCATAGCTGAGAGGACAAACCAGCTTTGTTTTTAAAGACCTTGTGCTCATGCAGGATGTGATTGTGATTAGATGATTGTATCTGTAGCAGGGAGAAGTGTATTTCTAGCAGATAAAACTGAACGCTGAGTCTTCTGCAAACGGCAAGTAGCATGTTACTTAAAGTGCATTTGGAAGCAAGAAATGGAAATGAGTGAGCCCAGAAAATGCACTGTCCTCTGCAGGGCAGAGACTTGAGTTGGTGTAGCTGATGCCAGACTAAACCCGATCTGATGTCTCGTAGAACGACAGAGCTTCACAAGCGAGGGGAATGTGGGGGCTGGTCTTAGATAAAGCACCTGATACTATTTTTCTTGAAACCTTACCTGGAAAAACAAGCTCGGTGTAAGCTGAATATTTGCATACTGTTCTTTGGTGCTCATGCTGAACCTGGACACTGCAAATAGCACTGTGGCACCTGGGGAGGACTGTTAGGTCTCAACTTAGCATATCTCTTAATAGTCTGGCGGAGGAGGTCGGGGGTGCATATATTCTACTTGGAAACTTCTGAAGCTGGAGTTTTATTAAAGGCAGAGAGGTGAAACATGAGTTAGAGATAGGCTCAGGCTGGAAAAAAAATGCCCCAGAAGTAACTGAGAATGCAGACCTGGAGCAAGTAAAGTACACCTCGTGTTTCTGATGCGCTGGAAAGGTGCTAGATGTGGGTCAAGGCTCTGTGCTAGCTACTGTGAGAGCAAAACAGCATCAGGTTTTTTTTTGGTCAAGAGAGGATGGGGGCTGACAGATTAATGTGCAGGGACCACAGGGGTGTGAAAGTGGCCGTGCTGGGACCATGCCCGCATCTGTGCTTGCTGTAGGCCAGGTGACACTTGGCCGAGGAGCCTGCAGCGTGTGAGGCAGCGGCAGCTGTTCGTGATGGCTTCCACAGGGCTTGAGGGACTCTGGGGGGCCGCGGGCTGCCGCTTTCCCTGGCGAGTGGTAGAGGGTAGCGTTGTAGCCAGCACCAATTAGGCCCCTCAGCCGAGCAGTGAGGCGCAGAGGTGGCCTTGGAAGTGACATGCAGCAGAATTCCCGGTCTGAGGTGTGATACAGGACACTAAGTTAGTCTAGAAGACATGTGGTCTTGGCAGCGGGAGAGGCCTGAAGGATGTCGGTGTGTGTCTGCCCAAGGTGCAGATCAAGGGTTTTACTGATCCACCTGTCTCTATGCTCCTTGCCTGGCTCCGCTGGCCTGTACTGTGGAAATGGCGCTTTGTGCTGCACCCCCTTCTCCACTGAGCAAGGGCAGGTTGTGGAGTAGCCCAAAACATGAGAGCAGCTGTGCCCCAAAGGCTGGAAGTTGTAGGCATGGGGGCAAGGAGGAATCAAGTCCTTAAGCCAGGCTCTCTGGGCGTGGTAATGGCAGGAAGCAAACACGGCCCTCTCTGTCAGGTTTTGTCCTCATGTCTGCATCCTGCTTTGGAGGGACCTGAGAAACAGAAAAGCGGGCAGAGCGTTGGCTGTGCATGGACCTGTGGAGGGCTCTGCTGTTCTCTTGGGGTGCAGCTCGTGGGGTCGAGGTGAGAAAATATGTTTCTGTAAACTGCAGCATTTGCGGAGCATGGAAGGTGAGTTAATGTGCGTGCAAGGAGCTCTCCTGGCATTTGGGACATGGAGAAACGTGTGAAGCTGAGCAAAGAGGAACTAGCTGGGTACAGAGGCACTTCCTAGATGTTTTGGGGTCCATCGGTGCTGGAGACTTTTCCTTCCAGCCACGTTAAGCAGCATACACAGACCAAAGCTAAGGTCCAGGCAGTCTGTCTGCAGTCATGTCACTTGTCCTGATGTGTTTCTTGGCCATCTAATATAAAGCAGAAGACACCTGGTGAGGATGAGCTTTCAGTCTGCACTTGCACGTAAAGCAGGGGAAGGAGGCCTCCTCTTCGCAACCCTTTTAAAGCCAGGAGATATATATATATATAAAAACATACAGTAGGGAATGATCCAGCATTAGCTGGGGAGGAACAAAATGTCTTCCACATCTGTGTTCTTTATTCTGGGCTTGTGCAGCTCTTGCTGGGGTCTCGGTGGGATAGTGAGCGCATGGCAGCGGAGCAGGCTGGGGAGGTGGCCCTGGGCCGCCCGCTCGAGCCCGTGAGCTCGCTGGCTTTGTGGGAACATCCTTCCCCAGCCACCACCCCGGCAGGAGGCACAGCCTGTGGGGTGCCGAGCCCAGGGATGGGGCTGCAGCGCCAACGCTTCCAGCTGGCCGGGAGCCATCCCGCCCTTGGCGCGCTCCAAGGGGCATGGGGCTGGGGAAGGCGGGAGGGAAAGCCGCTGTCCTCCCGTGCGGCACTTCTGCTCGCGCCCGCAAGGTGGAGGAAGCAGCTCGCGAGAGGGGCAGCCGGCGGGAGGCTGCTCCCGGGGTTGTTGGGAGCGGGAGCTCTGCCCCGACAAGGGAAGGTGTGAGGGCATAGGCTGGGTCTCCGTGCCCGCAGGGTCCCCACGCTCTGCTTGCCCAGCTGCCAGTGGGGTGCTGCTCCTGCTGCCAGCGCCCGTCCACCTGGGGTGGGAGGCAGGGCAGGCTCTGGCGCTATTGCAAAGCGGCAGAACTTAAGCTTGTTTCTTCTCCCTTGCCCTTGGGGAGGACCTACGTTATGCAGCTAAGCTGGGTCTATTCCCGCTTGGTTGCATTAGGGCCTCTTAGACAACTGGGCTGTGCAAGGCAACCCTCTCCTGTGGACATGTACTTAATTCGGATCTCAGCTCCCACTGATCCAGTTTCTGGTGTCGAGTACTGGACACGGCTCCTAGGGCAGAGCTAAGATAAAGCAACTTAACAGTGTTTCTTTTCTGTGAATCAGGTGACTCTGATGGAACTGTTCTGCTTAAATACCCTCCTCTTCTCTTTGTTTCTGAAAAATGGATTTGATACTTCAGTTCTTCAGACCATCCTCATCCACTTCTATCCCTGTTTCTGCAGGCCCCCTTTTACCAGGCTTCCTAGGGCAGAGAAGCCTGGATGTGGGGGTGGCGGGAGGGCATGAATTACTCTTCCTCTCTCCCTCGCCTTTGCTCATCTTCTAGTTAACCAGATGCAGTCCCCTCGGTTGGGTCCAGCACTCTGGCTTTAGCTGTTAGCACAGGTCCTGGTGCTGGTGCGGAGCCCCATCGGCAGCCTAAACGTGCAGTAGGGTGTTTAGTCATGTGGTTGACAGGGGAACTGTACATGCTGGTCTGCATGGTGACTAGGAAGGGCATGACAAACCATTAGTTGCACCTCTGACACATAGCAGAGATGGTGGCTGTGTCTTCCTGGGAGAAGTATGTATCATTGGGAACTAGTTAGCCACCCAAAACAGACATAGACATTGCCCCTTGCCTGTGTAGGGACCGAGCCACAGTTGTGGATAGCTCATAGGTGCCAGCCAACACATTTCTCTTTTGCCCCATCCTGAAATTGCTCAGCATGTTTGTCACCGGTTAGCGGTGCTGCTCGCGGTGACCAGATCCTTGGTGGGTGCTATGGATGCAGCGGGAGTCCTTGGTGCTGAAAACCATGACGGCTTCTTGCGGTCGGAGCTGAGGCTCTGCAGCCAAGGGCTCGCGGACCCAGCTTGTCCTTTCTGTGGAGCTGCCGTGGAGGGGAGGGTGTCTGCCCCTCGCAGCAGTGCCTTCAGCAGGTGGGATGCATGCGGTTGTCACGGGTCAGGGTTTAAATGGGACTCTGTGGCGTTGCTGTCTGAGGTCTGTCTTTAAGACCTGGCTCTACCTGGGCTGTCTCTCTGACCCTGTTCTTTTTTCTCTCCCCCCCACCGCAGGCTCGGGCCCAAGCGGAGGCCCTCCACATTGGGGATGTTCACTTTTCTGTCAAGCCTGGCTCTAGCACCTCCTCTCCCAAGCTCCACTCCAGCGCTGCCGTGCACCGGCTCAAGAAGGACATCCGGCGCTGCCACCGCATGTCCCGGCTACCTGGGCTGTCTCTCTGACCCTGTTCTTTTTTCTCTCCCCCCCACCGCAGGCTCGGGCCCAAGCGGAGGCCCTCCACATTGGGGATGTTCACTTTTCTGTCAAGCCTGGCTCTAGCACCTCCTCTCCCAAGCTCCACTCCAGCGCTGCCGTGCACCGGCTCAAGAAGGACATCCGGCGCTGCCACCGCATGTCCCGGCGCCCTCTGCCCCGTGCCGACCC